ATATTTTCCAAGTTTCTGCTCTTAAAATTTTCTCGAAATATCTATATAAACATCAGATATGTGAAATTTTGTCACAAGACAACTAAAGAAATCAAATGAAAGTTTATTTTTTGATTTAAATTCTTTATTATTTACATTCTAGATTGTTTCCACATATATATTACTCGCATAATGGATTTTTATGCACTTATGGGAAGTTTAAGGATGTAGGAAATGTAAAAGTAGATAAAACAGAGTATTCATAAAATAGAATTAGAACAAATCTCCCTCTACTTTAATCGTGTTCACAAATATGAAATTCCACAAAGATCCACAGTCTAGTCACCTACATCCCCTAAGTTGCTCTTAATGCATCTCCTCTGTTCCACCAACGATAAACAATCCACCCAATCTTTAAAAACTCTTCGAAACGTCAAAATCTGTGCGAGTACACCGTAGACTAAACTGGGCTCGATGCAGAAACTATGCTGGGTGGAACCACTTTCTCAAAGCTCTGTCCGTTCTATGGGGCAACGAGGCACTCGAGCCACAGTCGCTTTTGTTTTATCGCGGCATCTCGGCGAGTATAGGGCGATCAAACGAGCTGGCAAATCCCCTTCCCGCGGGAACAGGTGGTAAGCGCGCAGCGTGGGGCAGGCGCACGTCAAATCACCCCCCGTGGTAAACCCCATGCGCAATACCAGACACCATGGGGCCACAGCTGGGCGCCGTGTAGCTGCTTCAGCCCACGACACAACCGTGGCCACCATGGCACTCCATGCTCCTTTTCGAACTGATTCAAAGAGGACACGCGCCCCCTCCCCTCCGCCCCTCGAACGATTCAAGGGGTTGTGATTCGTTTGTCCCATCCGTGGTTTCGGAGATTTCCACGTGGTTATCGGTTCATTGAAACCGGGCTGAGCCATTTCATTTCTAATTAATTCTGCGGCCTTCGTGTCGGCCTCGGATTTGTGTCGTCGGGAGCAGACTCAAGGGGTTGTGATTCGTGGTTTTCACTGAAACTAGGCAGTTCCAGTCTTTTCATTTCCGATTAATTCTGCGGTCTTCGCGTTCCGAATTTAGGTTGTTAGAAGTTAATTAGAGGGTGGTTGGTTTATTAGGATTATCATTTGAAATTGGGAAGTCTTTTAGTTATTATCGTAGCTTTTCGTTTTGAGGTTGCGTTTTTCAAAAGTGGATTAGAGAGTCGTCGATCGATTAAAATTGATTATTATTTAAAATTGACGAGTCTTTCATTTTTTATTGAATTTTTCGTGTTTAGGACAGCCTTGAATTGCTGGTCACGTTTCGGGAATATTTGAGACTCGAACATTGATCAACTTAGATAAAAATTTAAAAAGATTCGAAAAATTGGCCTTCGAGTATCGGCGAGCAATCGCGGGGGAACGAATTTTGGCGTTTCGCGTCGCGCGGAACGAGCACGGGCATCGGATGGGCTCGGGTAATTTCGTAAGTCAAAACTATAATACCGAGGAACGACACCGGCGTGTTTGCACATTTCCACGGTGACACTTTAAGCGGGAGGCCGCGTTGAACACAGCCAGACATTTATCGTTGTATACATTGTATATATTTGCTCGTGCTTCCAGCAAGCTTTCGCGTAGAGCCGCGCAGCGTGTTCCCTTGTTGATTCAAAATATCGTAGCCATTTATTCAGCAATCATCGCCGAGCCGATTAGAAATAATAAAGATCGGCAGCCGCATTATTATTTATCCCCCTCTCGCCCGCTAATGATTCTCGCCCCCGTTCTCATCCTCCCTCCGACGCGGGCAAATATTCTTTTAATATTTAAAGATCCTCCCGTATAACCGTTTTCGTGTAAATACTCCGGCCGAGTGTAAATATGTACAAAATATACATCGGCGGAATGTATAAATACGAGGACTATACACTCTTTCAGGAATAAAATATTTGTCGCTCGCCGGAGTCGATGATTCCTCTCGTTTCCGCCTTTACGCGAGGTATTACCGGCATCTCTTTGTCAGCTAATAATTCTCGTTGTTTTGTTTGTTTGTTTATTTGCTTCCTCTCGCGGGGGCAATTAGAACGATTGAAAGGAAGACTGATTGGAAAAGGATTGACAGATGAATATAGGTTAGCTTGTAGTTTCTTCTTTTTTTCTTTTTTTTTTTTTTTTTTTT